GCTGCCGTGAGTCGCTGGCGACGGCGTAGGCTGCAGCGGGCAGTGTCACTGGCCCTCATATGTGGGATCCGAACCAGGGCCCTCTGGCGTCCCAAGCCAGCTCTTAACCATCGCGCCACTTGCCCGGTCCCTTCTTAATCAAAATTATTAAAATCATTGATTATTTTATATATTAAAAAGAGTTTAGTGATAATTAAAGCACATATATTGACCCATTCATGAAATTAGTCCTAAATTTTACCGCATAAGCTTGCTAGCACATATAACAATGAGATTCAAGACTAATTTCAGACAAGTATATTTGTTTCTGTATATTTTTATTTTGTAGTAGTTTAAAAATCTCAGAAACTATTTCAGACATATAGTCGACTAATTGATATGTTGAGCGATATCACAGAAAATACAAATCTATTTTAGATTCCACCAACGTTTACTAGTTGTTAAAATTAATCATTCTAAATAGCAAATTTAATTATGGTTAAATTCCTTATTAAATACATGTGAAAAATACCTATAGATACTGTTTAATACTGTTGTAATACAAACTTTTTTTAATATCAGTGTTTCTCCCCAAATCCTAATAGTAAGACTGTGGACATTGCAGACTCTTTAAAGAAACACTAAATTTTAAACTTCCGTTGAAGATGTATGTTCATATTGTTCATCTATTGATAAATGACTTTCATATTTTCTAATTTGTTTTATCTCTAATTGTATGAATGGAGATTTTTCTATTTTAGTGTATACATCATTGTCTATTCTTGGTGCTTTATATGTTTCATTATCTTTAATCCTGATAACATTCCTAAGAGGTAGGTATTATTATCTCTTCTTTTTAAAGTAGAGGAAACCAGTTTTCTGAGAGACTGATTTGCTTAAGATTCCTCTGCCAGTAAATGGCAGAGGTGACAATCAAATCCAGGTCCACAAGGTTCCAAAGTTTACACTCATTTCATTACACTGTAGTGACTTGGTGTGTACTGTGATCTCTGTTTTTTTTTCTGGTTTTTTTTTTTAATACAGAGGTGCCAAAAAAAAATGTATACACATTTTAAGAAAGGAAAACTGTATTAAAATTGTAATACTCAATATATACCGAAAACAAAAGATGAATACAAGTCACATTTTGACTTCTACAATTACAACAGGTGCTCAGAGTGGTTACTGTCAGGGTCCAGACACTTCTGATTATGGCGAACTATTGCTTGAGCAACATTGACCAAAGTGTTAACATCTCTTAAAATGTGTATGCATTTTTTTGGCATCCCCAGTATTTCTTAACATTTGTAAAATTGTAAGCTCATTAAACACTAAATAAATTAATAATTGTAAACCATAATTCTAAAATGAGGTTAGTTTTAAAAAGCTTATCTTTATGCTATCACTATTTGTATGTCATACTATTTTTTTAGCATAAAACACTCTCAAATGGTAGCTTTTTGCCATTTTTGTTGTATCAACTTAACAGATACAGTTTAAATTAGAATCTGTGAAATACAGTATAAAAAAGATTGGAACTATATCTAAAATCACCTTTGTTGTATAGTCTAATATTAATGAAATAAAGGTATCAGTATATTCTATGGTAGGTTTTAACAAGTTTGATTTATTGATGTCAGGAAGTTTTTCATTCTAGTTTTACTCTACTTTATAAAAATCCAGAGGAAAGAAAATTAAAATATAAAGGCTTCAACATTATTAATGAAACTACATTGTATAGTGTTAATAATTATCTCCTTTCATTTATAATCTGATTGGAGAGACAAAATTAATATAGATTTCTCTAAAAGTAAAATCTTTGGACATTCTTATTAACGCTCTTAACCCAGACCTTATAAAGAAACTAAAAAATAGTACATACGTTAGCTCCAACTATAATATTGGATTGTCGGAAAAGTCATGACATATTTTTTCTGTTTTTTGTTGCAAAAATGCGTCATGACTTTCCCGACAACCCAATAATATAATACCAGAGTTCAGCAGAACTAATAGCAGGAACCACTAGTATGTTTATTTTTGTGTAATAGCTACTTCATTCATTGGGCAGAAATGTAATCCCAAAGCCTCACTATGATTTTGTTTATTCTAAAGCTTCCCAAAGCTGCCTTGTAAATACTGTTACTATCCTTCTCCTTAGAGAAACTACTCTCATGTGTTTTTTCCACAAAGTCAGTAACATCTCAGTAACCTTTCTTGTCTGCTGACTTATTTTTACCATTTCTGTGCTCGGAGGAATATTGACAGTAATTCAAAAAACTTGTTGACAGTATAGGAAGAAACCCTCCCATCTCCCTGCCAGATTTCTGAAATTCCAGGTGTACATTGGCATAATTCTCTTCCTAGTATATGCTTATGAAAAAATAAGTTGGTGTGTCTTTCTAAATTACTAATGTTTTCACTCAATGAAGGTGGTAATTCCAAAACTATGTTTTCATTATCATTACACTAGTGACTAGACTTTTCAACTTGCTAGTAGCTTTTTTTCTTCTTTCTAATGTAGGAAGACCTAATTATTAAACCAGTTACCAATTCTTGATAATAAAAGTTATGTCAAAATTCTGTCAAAGATTGGAACCTCCTCCTTCCAGCTAAAGCAGGAATATCATCTTTGAAATGGAAGGAAAGTAATCTAGCCGAGCAAGCAGCAAGTTAGTGTTAGTCAATTAGCTTTAATAATTTGCTGTGTTACTAAGTCTGTATGTTCTGGATCTGATCATTTGAAATGTGCTCTTAATTGTGAATCTGAACAGATAATGTTATAAGCTTAAGTTAAAGAGCTTACAGTGATGGTTTTGCTAATTACAGTTTAGTTTCCCTGAAACGTTAGCAATTACAATATGTTTTGATTTTAAAGGAAATGTTGGGTGAACTCTTCACTCCTGTAGAAACACCCGAGGCACCAAACAGGGGATTCTTCAAAGGCTTGTTTGGAGGCGGTGCACAGTCTCTTGATAGAGAAGAACTATGTAAGTGGATTTATTTAATTTGGGTAATATATCTATAAAACAGAAACATGCAAGCCATATAAATTTTTCTTACATGTGTAGATTATGTTCACCTTTTTTCTTCTTTGTCACCACAATTAACATACCCATGTTTTAACAAAATACATGAAATTATTTTCTGTCACTCTAATCTAAATCAGAGGAATATTTTACTCAGGGAACGAAAATCAGAATAGCTTCAGGTAGCTAAAATGGAGCACTCACAACTTGAAATGAATAATTTAGAAAGTATTTTAATCAAATCTGATCATTATTATTTTAATTCTGTAATTGACTTTAATTGATGACCTTAATTTTGAAAAACTTTTTACTGAAATATTTATTTTATTTTACAAAATCTCCAAAACTACCAAGGGTGCCAAAAAAATATGTACACGTTTTTAAGAAAGGAAAAAATTGTATTAAAATTGAAGTACTCAATATATACTGATAACAAAAGATGAATAGAAGTCATGTGTATATGTTTTTTTTTGGCACCCCTGTTATTCTCATTGCATTAGGTTATCTAAAATAGTAAATCTGGTTCATATACTGCCTTCCACAAATGGGAACGAATTAAAAATTGGTTCTTGAATGAACTAATGTATCAATGAATGATTGACCTATCTTTCAAGTAGGAGCTACTGTCTATCCTTGATTTTTTTCCTTTTATTTTCTTTTTTCCTGAAATATTTTAGAATTTTCCTTTTGTGTTTGATCAATTAGAAAATCAGTAAGATTAAGTACCAGTAAGTAGCAATGCAGTGCAATGTCATTTTAAAAACTTACCGAGATGATTACCATCTGAGTAATGAGGATTGGTCAGTGTTAATTCATTTAAGAAAAATGAAAACTGTTCTTCAAGTTGTGGGGGACTGATAATTTGAAATAACGTTCTCACGGAGGATAATTACACAAAACTTAAGAATGTTTTATTTTAATTCTTTGAAGCATCAAAGAGCTGACAGTGTAGTAAAGACCATATCCTGGGGAGGGGTGGGAACCCAAAGTGGTGAGCCTGGCACCTGAGACCACTTTCATCCTGAAGTACTTTGACTATCTGCCGCATGAGACTGATAGTAAACTGTGTTAGGACTAGCAAGGTGGGATCCCAGAACTGACAAGGGTGAGGAGCCTGATAAACAAATCCTCCTCATGGCAAGGATGCCAGAAGCCTGCAGCTGAAGAGTAAAGTTGAGCTGGAAATAAATCAGATCTCACATGCACACAGACTTCCAGCTCAGCTTCAAGTTATCTGAGTGGCCAAAAAACTGTCAGCCTTAATTAAGAGTTTTGCAGACCGCTGGAGTCCCCAGCACCTGACAGAAGCAAATGAAAATGTTCTCCAAAGGAAGATGACATATCTCAAGTCCTCAAATTATTTCTACAAATAATTTTTCAAATCTGTAGCCATAGTGTCCAGGAGTCCTGGGAATCGATGCCATGATCAATAAAACAGGAAAAAAACAGAAGCCAAATCACATGCACTTTAAATATTAAAATTCTCAGACACGCACTATAAAATAATAATGCCTATTATGTTCAGGAGGATAAATACCATGCCTGAACCTTGTGTCAGGTAACTAAAAACTATAAAAATCAATACAGCAAGTGTGTAAGCAACTAAAATGAAATTGGAAAACTTAGATTCAAAAACCAAAATTAAAAACTTAGTGGATGAAAGCACTTAATATTTTGATTTCAAAGTATAATATTAACAAATATTGACATAACTACTAGAAGAGACAATTTTCCACTCGTAGTGGAATTTCTAATATACCTAGTGATTGAAATTCAACAGCAGAGAAAAAAATTAAGTTAGTAAAGATATAGAAAACATACCACAATTAATGAACTTAAATCTACTGAACGGATATAGAATGTTTCAGAATATACATTCTTCTCAAACACATACGGAATGTTCATAAAATTAAATAATGGGTATATGGATATTTATTATACAGTTCTTTTTACTTTCCTGTATGTTTGAAACTTACATTGTAAAATATTTGAGTTTCTTTATAAGTTGAGCATATGTTAGATGATTTTTAAAAATCAATTTTCAAAGAATTAAAATCAAAGAATTTAAGAGTTTGTGATCTGCAGTTATGCATGTAATCAATAAAAAAGCTAATTTTAAACCCCCATGTTTGAAAAATTAAGAACTATACTTTTGAATAACCACTGTGTCAAAGAATTCACGACCATTGGTATGCATCTAAAGTTATACTTGGAATAATATTTATAGCTTTAGTACATATTCAGTATTAGAGAAAGAAAAAACAGAAATGAATGAACTGACTGACCATTCATCTCTGAAAGGTAGCAAAATAGCAAAATAAACCAAATAAAATAAAATAATAAGATAGTAATGAAATAGTAAATAAATTCACAATAGACAAAATCAACAAAAGCAAAATTTGATTCTTTAAAAATCTAATAAAATGAATAAAACTCTGGTGAACTGAGCAAGATGAAAAGAAGGCACAAAAAAGCACTCAGGAGCGACAAAAGAAGCTGTCACGAAATGCGCTGCTGCCTATTAAAACAGTAAATTAGACTTTATAACTCCTTGGTAAATTTTTTCAAACTTTCAGTGAAATAAACAAATGCTAGAAAAGTATAATTTATCAAAATAGACAAAAAGAGAAGTAAAAATCTGAATAGTCCTATAACTATTATATATTGAAGCCATCGTTTCAAACTTTCCCACAAGTAAATTCCTGGCTCAAATTGGGCTTCACTAGTATGTTCTACCAAATATTTAAGGGGAAAAAATAATTTCACTCTTTTTGTAGAAAATACAAAAAGAAGATACACTCATCAGTTCATTTTGTGAACTTAACACAACCTTGGTACCAAAAATGAACATAGTATGAGAAAGGAAAAATAAAGACATATGTCACTCATGAATATAGATTCAAAATCTAAAATGAAATGTTAATATAGCATATCCAGCAATATGTAATAATGATGATATGCCATGACCAAGTTTGGGTTGTTCCAAGAATTCAAAGCTTGTTTGTTGTTTAAAAACAATAATAATAATGAGTAGTTCACCACATTAACAGGTGGACAAAAATCATATGATCACTCCAACAAATTCAAAAAAGACATGTAAAATTCATACCCATTTCTGATAAACATTCCCAGAAAGTTGACGAATTATAATTGCAAAATATTATATAACGTTTAACTACCAAAATTCTACAGTAAATATCACAATACAGAAACATTAAAAGTTATTAAAAATTTTCCCTTTGAGATAAGGAATAATACAATGCCTAGTGTTACCACATACGAGTACATTCAACATTGTATTGAAGTCCCTAGAGAGTATGGAAAAGGAAGGAAAAATAAAAGGTACAGTAATAGGAAAGGAAGAAAAAATAATCATTTGTAATGATTGATGCAATGACATATTCAGAAAACCTAAAAGAATCTATAGCTAAGCTGTTAGAAATAATAGTTTAGCAAACTTACTGGAAATAATCCACATACAAAAAGAAAATTCAATTTATTCATATCATATTAATAGCAGTAAAAAATGAAATTTTAAAATCACCATTTGAATTAATTTTCTATGGCTGCTATAACATTATCACAAACATAGTGACTTGAAACAACACAAACCTATTATCTTACAGTTCTGTAGCTTAAATATCAACACCAGTGTCATGGTGTTGCCAGGGCTGTGTTCCTTGTTGGAGGGTTTAGGAGGAGAATGTTTTTTTTTGTTTGGTTTTTTTTTGCCTTTTTTCAGCTTCTGGAGACCATCCTCAACCCCTTCCTCAGTCTTCAAAGCCAGCAACTTTCTGCATCTCTCTTGACTATTTTTCTAAAGTCATATCTTTCTCTGGGATAAGCTCTTTGCTTTTAAGGACGTGATTACATTGCGTTTAGGTGGATAATCTTGCTATCTCTAGGTCCTTAATCACATCTGCAAGTCCCTTTTCCTATGTAAGGTGACATATTTACAGGTTCCAGGAGTGGGGGGCAGTATGCTGCCTGCCACAATGGTATTAAAAAAAAAATACTTAGAAATAAATCTTAGCAGATGTTCAGGACCTCCATGGGGAAAATAGACAATTATAAAACTGTCAAGAAGTGAAAGACCCAAATAAATAGAGATATATATCATGCAGTGGAAGATTCAGTAAAAGACATCAGTTCTCCCCAAACTGATACATGCATATACATACATACATGCGCATCCCACCCAAAAAATTGTAAATTATTTTAAACTTTATATGGAAATTCAAAAGATCTCACCAGTTCTAGTTAACATTGTACTAGAGGCTTTAGCCAGGGCAATTAGGCAAGAAAAGGAAATAAAAGGCATGAAGACTGGACTGGGAGAAGTAAACCTATATTCGCAAATGACATTCTTGCATGTAGAAAATCTTAAGGGGTATACGCACACACCATTAGAGTTAATAAGATTGCAGGATACATAGTAATATAAATAATAAATTGTGTTTTTTTGTATACACTAGCAGTGAACAAACTGAAAATTAAACAGTTCCATTTTTAATAGCATCAAAAAATAAAATACTTAAAAATAATTTAAAAAGTGTAAAACATACACTACAAACTTCAAAATATTTAAAGAAATTAAAACATAAATAAATGGATTGGAAGATGTAATATTGCTAAGATGGTAGGTATTCCCCAAATTAATCTATACATTCAACACAGTCCCTGTCAAAATCCCAGCTGGTTTTTGAAGACTGAAAAAAGCTGTTCCTAAGATTCATATGGAAATAGAAAGGATCCAAAATAGCCACACATACACATCTTAAAAAAGAAGTAAAAAAATGGAGGACTCACACATTTGATTTCCTACAAATGTTACTACAAATCTGTAATCATCAAGATAGTGTGCTGCTGGCATAATGATAGATACATAGACTAATGGAATAGATTTGAAAGTCCAGAAATAAGCTCATACATGTATGGTCAGTTGATTTCCTACAAGGATGCCAAGAAAATTCAATGGTCAAAGAATGGTCTTTTCAACAGACGGTGTTGAACCCCGATGAAGTTGGACCCTGACCCCATACCATACACAAAAATTAACTCAAAATGGATTAAAGACTTCAATATAAAGAAACTAAAACTCTTAGAAGAAAATTTAGGAATCTTTGTGACCTCAGATTAGGCGATAGTTTCTCAGATATGACACCTAAATTACAAGCAACCAAAGGAAAAAAATAAATTTAATTTCCTCAAAATTAAAAGTCTAAGAACACTATCAAAAAGTGAAAGACAACCCACAGAATGTAATAGAATATTTCAAATTATTTATCTGATATATCTGGTAAGAGTCTAGTATCCAGAATACATATGGGACTCTTATAAATCAACAATAAAAAAACACATAGCCCAATTTATAAATGGGCAAATGGTTTGAATAGTTACTTCTCCAAAGAAAATATACTGATGATCAATAAACACATGAAAAGATGCTGAACATCATTTGTTATTAGGGAAATGTAAATCAAAACCACCATAAAATACCGCCTCACACTTACTAGGATGACTGTAACACAAAAGATGTACAATAACAAATATTTGCAAGAAAGTGAAAAAATTGAAACCCTCACACATTGCCAGTGGAAATGTAAGATGCTGTAACCTATTTGGAAAATTCTGGCAGCTCCTCAAAAAGTTAAACATAAAGTTATATGACCCAACAGTTAACACTCCTAGGTATATACCCAAGAGAGCTGAGAACACATGTTCACACAAAAGGTTGTATAGATGTTCATAGCAGTGTTATTTATAAGTGGAAACAACTCAAAATGCCCATCAGCTGAGGAGTGGATAAAGGAAATGCCATGTCTTCCATAACACAGTGGTATATTGTTCAGTCATTACAAAGGGTGAAGTGCTAATACATGGCTGTACCTTGTCATTATTTGAGTGAAAGAAGTGAGACACAAAAGGCCACCCACATATTGTATAAATCCATTTAAATGAAACATTCAGAATAGAAAAATTTATAGACAGAGTGGGTTATTGAATGCCAAAGGCTGAGAAGAGGGGAAAATGGAAAGTGGCTGCTAATAAAATTGGTTGTTCTTTTTCGTAGTGATGAAAATGCTTGGGAATAGATAGTGATAATGGTTGCACAACCTTTTGAATAAACGAAAAATTACTGAATTGTTGAGGGGAAAATGTTATGGTATGTGAATTCTATTTCTAAAGAAAAATGTATGCTGAGGGACGAGGAAATAATGACAGCAGACTGAGCAGGTTTTAGGCTTTTGCAGTAATCTAGATGTTAGATCATCAGGGTCTGGGTGACAGAGGGAAGGGACGCAATGAATCCCTGAGACCTGAAGGAAAAATTGTGACCTATTTGGTAAGTGACAACATAAATGGAGACAGAAAAGGGGAATAGAGCACATCTGTAACTTTTGGAGCCTGAAATAGAATGTTGAATAAATTCTGTACTTTTCTTTACTTCTAAGCCTAAGCATAGTACTTCAGTAAGACAAAGTATGGAATAAATAAATGAAAATCTGTATATTTAAATTTAAATCTTTGAATTTCAGTATCTTTAAATTAATTTATCTTCAGTATTTTGCACACTTTTTACTGTTATATAAATTGGGATCAGTTTATCCCATTATTCAGTTCAACAAATAATTGCCAGTCCCTTTTTTGCACAAGTCCTACTATATGAACTAGGAGAGAATACAGTATTTATCAAGGTACATTGTGTTCTCCTTGTTTGAAAAGTATCTAAAAATTATTAAAGCCATCATAATAAAAGAAAACATGTATTAATTATAAAGTGAACTAATACATAAGTATTTCTGAGTTACCCTTTCATTTATTGCATTTGTGCAGTTGGGGAATCAGCCTCAGGAAAGGCTTCGAGAAGTCTTGCACAGCATATCCCGGGCCCGGGAGGCATTGAAGGCGTCAAAGGAGCAGCGTCTGGAGTGGTGGGTGAATTAGCCCGCGCCAGGCTGGCGCTGGACGAGCGCGGCCAGAAACTCGGAGACCTGGAGGAAAGAACCGCAGCCATGTTGTCTAGTGCGGAGTCGTTTTCCAAACATGCTCACGAGGTATGTCTGTCAAACAAGTACTTAGACAGACAACCCTGGGTAAAACAAGTATGAAAGTGACTATTTGTATAGCTACTGCACACCTACTCTTGAATTTTCATATAGTCTCTAGACAGTTGCCAATCCCTGACTTGCCACCAGAGGGAACTATTTATCACAAGAACATGTATGAGTAGTAGCATTTGGTCTTTTCCTGAAGTTCGCAAATCCCAGGGAACCTGCTCACCTTCGAGCTTTCTGTAAACACAGCTTTGTGACCGTTTCTTTGAGAACCCAATAACAAAGCTAACTTTCCCGAATGCCTCTCATTCTACTACCGGTTCCTCCTAGAGAAGGGAATAATTGCCCTCTCTTAACTCCTTAGGGAGATCTGAATAACTAAAACCAGCAAACACTTTTATTCAGATAAACAGTATCAAATCTGTCTGGGGACCACTTCATATGGAGGAGTAACAAGGTGCATTTTTGCAGTGAATTCCTCTTGATGACCCAGGACATTACGGTGGAGCTTAGAAACAGATTGTGTGAAGTGGGGCTCCCTAACCGGCCCTCTTACAAATATGCTTTCCTGGCCAGCATGGTAGGCCTGAAACTCAGAGTGTAAAGGCTGTAGGTAGAATGCACGCTCTTTTCATTTTGACACACAGGTCTGCTGCTCTTGATGCTTTTACACATGCCCTTGAGGACATTTCAAGTTTGTCACCTGAAAATACCATGTTAAGGTTATTTTTATGTGTGAGCACCAAAACTGTTATTAATAGATCTTTAAATTTTTCAGTCAAAAGTCATCTCGTCCTGGCTTAAGAATGCTGACACCTAGAATACATAAAAGAGGTAACTTGACCTGGAAGAGATTTGTCCAGGGCTTCAATGAGATTCCGAGGTCACTTGTCAGCCCGTGTACTAGGCTGACATACATGTCAGATACAGGCTAGCAGCCTCCAGTCTAGGTCAAGAATTTTATTGGCATAACCCTGCACCTGACTGTGACCTTTAAGCCATAGGACACTTCAGTCAATTTCAGAAAATATCCACACTAAATATTCATCAAAGAGTTCAGTCTCAAACTGGTAGCGTTCCCCTTCTACCAAATATTCTTGAGCCATATTTGTGAGTAGAACGAAGACAATACATTGAGGTATTTAAGATCATGGGTTCTTGAATCAGACTACGTGGACACAAATCCCAGTTTCACCCTTGTTTACGTTGGGTAATCCCTATAAGCTTCCCTTTCTCGTTTATAAAATGAGAAGAATAATGCCTAACCCGTAGAGTTGTTTTGAAGACCAAATGAATTGCTGTAGGGACAGTGCTGGCTCAGAGGAAGTGCTCAGCAAATTTTAGATGGCAGCAGTAGTAGTGTTTCTAACCTTTCACTCCCAGGTCCCTTAAGCATTACTTTTAGTGCAAATTAGAAAGTTGAAAATTACTTTATTTGTAAATTATTAACTTAGGTCGCCAAAGAGTGCACTGGCCCAAATTTAATTAGGTCACACGCCTAAAAGATGTAAGGGTCTTCTAGGCTGATTCTTAATCATTATAGTCTTTTTTTCCCCCTAAATGGAACAATTCTTACTGCTTTCAGCATAAATTGATTTGAAGTAAGCAATATAGTAACACTATAGAATGTTTTAGAATGATAACAATGTTTTGTAAAATAGAGAAGTCAGTTGTAACTTAACAAGCATTGTTCTGTCATGTTTAAAACATGTTTTTTTATTTTCTCCCTTTAGATGATGTTGAAATACAAAGATAAGAAGTGGTACCAGTTCTGACAACCAGAAATCCAACTAAGTCCAACTTCAGCCAAAAGGAAAACGAATTTTCCTTTTTTACTTTATTGATTTTACTTTAGGAAAGTTAACATTAAAGGGACGTTCACCACCGGCTACTGTTCTTTCCTAAGTCATGCACTGTTTTACGTCAGTCACGTGGCTTTACCTGAGGACTGTTCCGACTCCGAGTGACACACACGCTGTGTGCCAGCTAAGAAGTCACAGTGTGGGAGCTGAGCAGGTCACACGATACAGATGAAGAAACAGAGGGGGATGTAGAGACATGGCAGGGACTATTCCTGAATCATTCCTGCATTAAACTTCTCATACGCCAAAAGCTGTGTGCTGTTGTATCTGCCGTCAGTGTTTGACCTCTGAGGGAGAGGCAGTGAGCTCGAAGTTCCGAAGCTGAAATCGTTCATGTTTGTCTCATTGACTGAATTACAAGCAGCTGTCTTGGACCGTCCCTCCCTTAAACTGACTGGTCATCAGTATCATTAGTGAAAAAGCAACAAACTGTTTGTTACCATATCTTTAGACAGATAAGCTGAATGGTGGGCTTTCAATAATAAAAACATACACATGGTTGACTTGTGTATGGGCTACTCTTGGATTCTTGTTATTGTATACTTGTGTTTAGTCCATATTTTGTCACAAGCAAAACAAGGTGATACATCACTTTTCATTGAAAAGAAAAGTGTAGAGCATGACTGAACTGCTCATCATTCTGGGAGTTTCCATGTAGTGGCTATGCAGTGTGGAAAGTGAGAAAAACCTCCGTTGTGGTGAGGAGAATACTTCAATGTCCCTTGTCCTTGTTCTCATGAATTCAGCTAAAGGTGGATTTGACCAAAATAGTTACTGGTTAAATTGGTAGAGATGTTGAAGTTGGCTAAGTTTTTAATTTTGCTTGAATTTTTATAAAATGTTTAACCAAATGTACCTTTGCATTATTTAATTAAAATTGCTAAAAAAAATTGTTTCATTATTTCAGTAAAGTGCTCAGCTCCCTTTTCAAAATGCCCTTGATTCGCTAACAGTTCCAGTACACTCAGGTGATGAGCCAATTAAATCTTAGCGCACATGCTGTCGCATGGAAAATTACAAGCATCTGTTGTCAATAATTATATAAGAGTCTAGTCTGATGACCTACAAAATATTTTCTGTAGAAACATACTATAAATCTGTACATGTCCTTTCAAGGTTTTAAAAAGCCAAAAGGAAAGGAAAATATGTGCATTTTGGTAACTAAATTATTTCTGTACTGCAGTGTAATGCAAATGAGACTCTCAGTGTACAGTGAAGGATTGGTTCCTAAAAGCGTTGCAGTCAGGAAAGAGACGACGCAGTAGTCCCTGGGAGTAAGCAAGTAAGCTAGTAATGCAGGCTCACCTGAGATTACATCGATTGTTGTTAAAGCAACGGAGGAAGAGCAAACTAGAAGCATTACATTTAATAATGACATTTGAATATTTTCTTCTATAAAAATTTGTTTAAAACCGTTTTCTTTTTGCATTGATATAATCAGAGCACAAATTGATAGCAAACATGGTGGTTTTTCTATTCCATTTGATCATTAAAGGTATGTGTAGAACACTTCAATTTCATGTAGTCTGTGATGCATCTTTTCCTCTTTACTCTTTTCATTAATAAAGCCTTTTGTTTACATTTTATAACGTGCACTATGGGACACAAAGGTTTACATTAAAATTTACTTTGAATATCATTAGAGAGGGACTAAATATATGTGACACAGATACACTGATCAAGCCAAAAGAAGTACTTTAAAAATACAGTCCTTATCAAAAGTTTTTGAATTTGTAGAAAGTATGAATAGCATATTTTGTTTAGTTAATGTCAGCTATATGATGAACATTCAGCAGTTTACAAATTGCTCAATTTATATCATATGTTATCTACTAAACCCATTGTTCCATGATATGTCACAGGAAGTATTAGGCCATTTTTTAAAAGAACAGTTTTGTGAATGTCATCTGTAAAACCAACGGTTAACAGCTTGGAAGTTGAGAAGCACTAAGTAAAGTAATGCACTGGTTGATTGGCCATTCACGGGGAAGGGCGTATTAGCTCTAGGTGTTTAATTTGCTGTGTTATTTTGTTAATTGTCTATCAACTTCATTTTTACTGTCATTTTTCCTGTTGTATATAAAATAGACCAATCTTGTAATTATTTTCAAATAGAGAAGTAGATACGTCCAAGATGGCTTTTATAAGAAAATCTTAATATTTTGGGTTATTTTATTTCATTTTTAAATTAATCTACAAGTTATGCACAGCACACTAGAAACTTGCTTAGGATTAGAATGAAGTATTTTTGAAAATAGGGACTAAGCTTCTCAAAGTTATACTTGATTCAGTCTGTAGATAAGAGACAGTTTGCAGTAATGACTAACCCAGGGAACTTACTGTAATTTGAGAGAGAACATCTCTTATTTTTTTGTTTGTTTGTTTTTAAATGCAGAAATAGTCACCAGCAAGCTAAGATTTCAGGAAAACAAACCAAAAAAAAAAAAAAAAAAAACAGAAAAATGAAAGATTTCGTGTGCTTCCTCCATATCTTCACACATTATTCTTTGTTGCATTTATCCTGGGCTCTGAGATCACTGAAGTATTCATTGATTAGCGGTTGTCAACAGGGAGTGGCTTCCCTATGTGTAGCACACACCCAGTTCATTTCACTCTTCAGACTAAAGTCCATATGTATTTGCTCAAAGTTATTTGGAATCTTATAGTCTGACAAATTCTGTATATTATCTCCATTTGAAGTTTTGCATCATCTCTATCCGGTTGGTTTGCATTTCAATTGTACAAAGTGTTTCCAAAAAAATGGTTATAGATATAACTGAGCTATTACTAAGTTAATTTGATTTTTTATGGATGTGAAAAAATGCTGCTACTTGTCTGTGTTATGTGTAGTATATTACAATTTAATTAAGTACAGTACTTTACAGAAAGAAGTATTTCTTTTGCTTAGAACTTCTTAATTGTAGGTACCTCTGAAGTTATTTCATGTAGATGTGTGAGTGTTTTAAACAAGTCTGAAAGTGTTACATACTTTTAGGTTACAGGGGGGGGTGGGGAAACAGCTGAGGTAAAGAAAAATATGTGGAAGCCACCGCGGAGTTCAAAGTTTTACCCTGAGTTCTATATTCTATATACGTTTTGCTTAAGGCATTTTCTCATGTGATATTAGACAAGCTATATCCAAAGGTAAAATTTTTGTGGCAAAGATTTATTTTACATTTTAACTTTTGGGATTTTGTTTATTTGTTTTTTCAAAATAAAGAGCACTGAACTTTAAACTTGAATTTTTTCTGCACATTTTTAGGTAATGAAAACTTTTTATTATCATTTAATCCACATTTCTCAGTTCAAATCAAGTGGTACGTATGTATAAAACATACCAAAATCATGAATATGCTGCTAGCTACACCTTCAACAATTAAACTGATCATAGTTTTAAAACCTTTAATAGGGTTTTATATAGTTTTCAAGAATAAAATACAGTAAAATCATTTGCTGTGTGTTTCAGTGTTCTAGGTCTTAAATTATTGCAACACTTTCAGATTTGTTTTAAGATCATACAGTAACGTTATATTTATACATACTGCTAGAGAATATACTTTTAGTTTTAAAATGGAATTTTTATAAATGTACTCTTTAATTTTAAAAATGGTGAACTTGTTAAGTCAAAGTACTTAAAAAGTATGTATATTATCCATACAAAAAGTTATGTTTTACGCTTATAATAAGAAATACTGATATCTCATATCGAGATACAATTAATTTTAAAGAATCATACATCATTCAAAAGTTTTCACACATGACAGGAAAGATATTATGATGGTTTTAAAAACCCTCTATTGATCTTTTTCAAATATTAATTTTATTTTGGGGACAATGCCCACAACAATAATTGCAACATCTTTCTCAATAGCTGCAGCTTGCTGTTGGATGCCTACCTTCACTATTGTTTTAAAAAATATATATATATTTAAAATAGTTTTCCAAGTATTTTCTTCTACCTTTTTTAAAAATAAATTTCCAAAAATGAAAACAGAGTTTATGTATTTTTGTCAATGAAGGTTTTTATTTTGTAGTTTATAGAATTTGTTCCTTATCAGTTTGATACTTGATCAATATTCCTAGACTTTTTAATCTGTATTTAGTTTGAAAAAGAGCACTCTTCTATCTTAAGTGTCCTCCTTTTTTTCTTTCCCCTTTCAGGGTGTTTGTTCTCTTGGATTAAGATTTATGCCCATAATTTTTCTTTTTTCATTTGAAAATGAATGTGAAGATACTGTTTACAGCTTTTGTTAATTACACTTTTCATCACTGATCAATTTCTTGTAAAGTGCTATGGGGATTATTATTTTTTTCCAGCGAATATTAATGATCTTACTACTGCCACAGAAGTTTTAAAGGTTCTATGGGCAGAAAATAGTTGTAACAACAAAAATTAAAGGGAAAACTTTAGCTTACCTTTCTCAGCTGAATTAAATGGTTTTAATAACTTCCCAATTATCAGGGTTATAACATTGCTTTCTTCAGTTAAGACTTACACAGTCTTAAATTATTTGGCACAATTTATTTACAAATTGAGTACAGTCGTCCAGGGCTGCATATAATGGCTCCTTTTCTTACACTCTACATCAGAAAAATCATGAATGTCAGTTTTGCCAGTATTTCACAATGAGGTTCATAGTTCAAATTAAAGTTTTATAGTGTATGAGATGTAAATAAATCAGTATTCATTTATTGTATGTTGTTTGGCTTAGGCATTTAAAATGGGTATAGGCCAATGGCAAGGAATCCTATTTATCTGGGAGTTTCATTTTTTAAAATATTTTGCTATGTATTTCGTGTTGTTTAAACTTTGCTTCCACTGAGGACAATGCAAGGAGACTGATGACAGACTCATATCAATAGGAAGCAATGCAAAGAGGGTAAACCATGTTTTTATTTATTTATTTATTTATTTATTTATTTATTTATTTATTTATTTATTTATTTATTTTGTAAATAAATAGTACTGTGATACTTTAGGTGTGACCTCTGCTTAACATGGTAATTAGAACCAGAAAAAAACATTTTGCTTTCTAGTTATACTGTCGGTTCATTGTAAATGCATCACCAAAAACAATATTAAAAAGAGCAAGATTACGTTTTTCTAAGATTCAGGGGCCAGCATGCTTGGTATAGAGCTTTGGCTTGTGTATACCTTACACTGTACCTACAGGTAGTGTTCAGTTGCTGCACTTATTTACTTATTTACTTTATATCTTGCTCTGTCCAGTAACTATCTCAAAGGTAAATGCTGGAATATGCATTTTAAATACAGTCAAAACCCATCTCGATGTACTGTTTCATTTAAAACAAACAAGCACTCTAGCAAACACTAAAAATGTGTTAAACTTTGTAGTTATTTTGCATTCCTGTACTTTACAAACTGTCATCCCAGCAAAAGGTTTAAAATTAGGTAATGAAATATTTTTGTAAATAAATACCGTTAAGTTGGTATTTAAAAAAAAATGTATTATAAGTTAATGTTTCTGGAAAATGTTCATATATATG